TGTGCTAAAAGGTAGTGTGTTAACCCAATTTCAGAGAAGACCTGGATGTTCAGAGAGACTTAAGTCATCTGCTAGTGGATTGAATAAAGGTCTTCAGATTCCTTGTTTATCCTGGTCCAGGGACACAGTAATCAAAGAGTTCTGCAGGTATTTGAAATTACAAACCAGTGAATTCAAATTTAAATCTGGGCATTTAGGATTATGAAATTTTCTGTTCTCTTCTTTTTTGCCTCTTTGTAACCCCAACACTAACCCAGTTCTTTAAGCTGGTCTGACAGCAGAACTTGAATTTTTTTTTCTAAGAATGCCACTGAGGCTAGAGAGGCAGGGCTGCTCGTACTGTGAGTAACTCTGGCTGTGCAGGGTGGGTCCCCCTCCCATCATCACTGCGAAACGAGACTGCCCTGTTAGTGAGCCCCGCTCACCCCCAAGCCTGGCAAAGGGGAGTTGGTGGTGTGGTCAGCTGCTGTGGACATTTTGCAAGAGAAGTCCCCCAAAACAGCAGACTCTATGGCTGTCCTTCAGCGTTGGTGGAACTTGAAGCAGTTATGTCAGTTGCTCTCTTGGCCCTTTACCTCAAAAGGCTAGTTAGTACCTGAAATGATGGTGACAATTCTTTTTGCTTAGGAAATTGTAAATTTACATTGAAGATTAACAAATCGTAGTTATGTCAAGCTTTAAACATTTAAATGCATGATTAAAATACCCTTGCATTTATAAATTTGTTTTGTGTCTGAAACTTTCTGTCAGAATATATCTCCAGTTTATAAAGGAAGTTTAACTGAAAGTAAGATTTCACTGACTTTTTTTCTTCCATAACTAGTGTTTCAGGTATAAATCTTACCTTGAAGATTAAAAAAAAATAATTAAAATATGAAGATTCCATATTTATCTTACCTCTTTACCTTTGATATATTGTCATTGCAACGTAAGGTGAGAAGAGGTTTGAATTTGTAGGGCACTTAGAATATTGCAGCAAATCTGTGTTGCTTGTATGTAAGCTTGACTTTACTGTAGTCAGAATGACCGAGATGGAAGGTTGGCTTTCTAGCAGATCTGGATTATTGATACCCCAGTGAAGGAAACAGAATTCTTCTTAGACTTGTTAGACGTGAAGAGGCATAGACAGAAGGAAAATAGATTCAACGGATAGAACAAGTCTGGGTTCCCTTCTGGATAGGACAACAAGTAAATGATACTAAAACACTTCAGAATTCTAGCTTAGGTTTGGCCAAATAGCTAGACGTTTGTGATTGCCACGTGCAAGGCACTGGTACAGTGAAGAAAACAAGTGATGATAGCCTTTGGGTTTTTTTAATTTTATTATTATTAGAGCAGGTATTCATGCTTTGAACTTTGGGAGTGGTCATAACTATGTTAGTACAGCTTAAACGCTTGGTTAAAACCTGGCCATACTTTTCATTTCTGGAATAATCATCTTTCTTTAGGGTGGGTTGAATTGGGGAATTAGTGCCTTGGTTTTGGAAGTTGAGGTCACCATTTTGTCGTTCTTTCTCTGTTCCCTCTTGGCAGGGATATGTATTAAGCTCTATTGAAGGCAGAGTGGCAGTTGAGTACTTGGACCCAAGCCCTGAGGTACAGAAGAAGAAGTATGCCTTCAAGTGTCACAGACTGAAAGAAAATAATATCGAGCAGATTTACCCCGTCAATGCCATTTCCTTTCACAACATCCACAATACATTTGCCACAGGTAAAATCCAGCCTGCTGACCCATATCTAATCATTAAAATAACATAATTTTGCTGTTAACTGAACACTAGACATTTATACTTAGAGGTCTTTTAAAATTGTGTTTGCATTTATGATATGTGGTGGGGGGAAATCTGGTACAATACTCTGGGGGAAAATGTAACTTCCGTGACCTTAAAAATTAACCATTTGTTAAGATAATGGTTATTTCTGTGTCTGCTTTTAAGAACCATTTCAACTCTTGAACTTTTCCTGCAGGTGGTTCTGATGGCTTTGTAAATATTTGGGATCCATTTAACAAAAAGCGACTGTGCCAGTTCCATCGGTACCCCACCAGCATTGCCTCACTTGCCTTTAGCAATGATGGGACTACGCTTGCAATAGCATCATCATATATGTATGAAATGGATGACACAGAGCATCCTGAAGATGGTATCTTCATTCGCCAAGTGACAGATGCAGAAACAAAACCCAAGTGAGTATGCTTCACCTGTATTTGAGCCTTTTCTTGCATTCAACCCAGGATTTATTAATTTTTCTAAATTCATGAATAGCATTGTTGATGCCTGCTTGATATTGAAGCTGACTGTAGGGTTGGAGTTGATTTTATCTTGTTCTCCCAAGCTTTCAATATCCGTAGGTTGATAGACGTCTGATGGATAAAATTGTGCCTAGTTGTTTTGTAGAGAAGAATGTCAAACTCTCATTCTTCTTGAATAGGCACCATTATTTGGATCTCTGAAGTTATTACTAGCTCATTGCTTCAAAATTAAGTTGAGGAATTCAAGAATAATTTATTTTAGCAAATTCTATTTAAGATATTTAAGAATTTGAACTGCTAAAAATCTTTCCTCTCCACAGAGGTTGTTTCTTTAATATTTACATAATGTGAATGACCTTCAGGTCTTACTGGAAACCAAGAATAATACAGCCTCTCCTAGAATAGCAAATTTCCTTGGTTTTGAAATTTTCATAGATATTTTGACTCCTGGTTGTAACTATTAATGGAGAGGAACTACTAATTTTTTTTTCTTTCTTTCTTTCTTTCCTTTTTTTTTTTAATCAACAGGGAAAGTCTCTTAATTACCTGCACCAGGCTTAAAAAACTGAAACTTAGGTATTTGAAAAACCATAAAATACTTACCTCCAAGTGTCCTTGTCCTGTTCCCTGTTCCTTTCTACCCAGGCCCTGGAAGGAAGTCCTCAGTAAATACCTAGGGAAAAACAATGTTTTCAGGATTTCTCTGCTTTCCTGAAATAAAATGGTAGAATTAGGTTGCTGAATTAGGTTGAGTCCCTGAGAGCGGGCAGAATATTAAATATTCAATATCATGTATACTTCTTCAGCTTGACTTTAGAAAAGTCTTAGCATGTGAGGCCTGTTGGATAAAGGGCTGTGTTTACATCTGCTCTCTCACTTTGGTATTTCTTGTCCTGGCCAGCCATTTTGATCTCATGCTGTTCTTTTTTCTTTTGAACTTGTAGGGTCACCATGTATTAACAAGATTTCATTTACTTAAGTGCCATGTTGATGATAATAAAACAATTCGTACTCCCCAATGGTGGATTTATTACTATTAACAAAGAAACCAGGGACAGATAGTAGTTTTAATATTATAAGAACCTGAAAATAATGGAAAAGAGGTTTTTATTAATAAAAAA